AAAAAAAAAAAAAAAAAAAAAAAGAAGTGCACATTCTCAGTAAACACTCCAGGCCTACTGAGCCAGAAACTCAGGGTGGGGCCTAGCAGTCTGTATTTTAACAGCCCCCAGGTGATCCTGACTAACTCTCAAGTTTGAGAATCCCCTCGGGGCTTACAGGGGCCGCTCTTCAGGTGGTCCCTGATGCCCGCTGGTGATATGGGTCCTGTGTGCTGCTGAGCTCAGCATAGTGCAGTTGAGTGGGCTGACTGTGAGACAGGCATGTGCTGTCACCGCTGAGAAGCCACTGGGACCTCCTTCCCTCATCACCTGCAGCCTCCGCAACAAATTACTGCCAAGACAGCAATGAAAAGTGTGTATGAAGTGGGTCCAAATTATTAGCCTGCCCACCACTCCTTGTGCATCTCATCAATTGAACCTATCTAGAGAGGGGTTCAATTGATGAGATGGGCCCTTTAGGTGCAGAACCAGGCCGGAGCGGAAAAGAGAAGAGTGCCCTAATCTTTGCTTTCCATCTCTGGGCTTCAACACCCACGCAGCTTTTTCTTATATCCTTTGAATACATATCTGACTTAGTATCACCTCACAGAAGATAAAGAATCATAGTGAAGTAGAAACAAGTCACAGACCAGTGTACACTCAAACTGAAAGTTTTTTTCCCACCCTCTCCCTAAAGAAAACATCCCTGCTGACTTGGGCAGTGTGATGGCCATAGCGAAGCAGAGTGGCCCCCAGGGACCCTGCTCTGTCCTCGCATACACACACACAGGAGGAGCCGAGAAAGCTGATCCAAGGAGTGATGACAAGCGCTGCACAGAAATGTTTGCCAAAAGCCTTCTGGAGGACGCAGGTGCTCTAACAAGGACATAAGTTTGCCCTGCATTTCCGCAGCTGAAGACATGTAGTCTGGTGACCAAGCATTTGGTTCTTGGCTTCAGCCTTTGGTTCAAATCCCTGCTTGGCTACTTACCACCACACTTTACTACCAAAATGTGACCTTGAGCAGCAACTTCCTTAAGCCTCAGTTTTCTCATCTGTAAAATGGAGATGATAATCTAAGTCACGAAGTTGATGGATGGCTCAAACAAGGGTAATAAATGTGAATGTACAGTGTCTGGCTACGGCATGGCTTTATAAATGTCAGCTGTGTTAGAGCTGTGCTTTTTCAAACCATGGATCACAACCATTCATGGTTTGCGACCAGCATTTTTTTCAAGAAAAAATGTTAATGCATTACATATTGTAGGATAAGCATTATTTTATGAAACTTTGGGGGTTGTGTGCATATGTGTTCTGGGATGCAACAGAAAAATATTTCCTCTTGTGGGTTCCAGTATGGAGGTATGAAATCTCATATAAATAAACAAATAACAGATACTAGGCTTAATACCTGGGTGACAAAATAATCTGTACAACAAACCTCCGTGACACAAGTTTGCCTATATAACAAACCTGCACATGTATCCCTGAACTTAAAAGTTAAAAAAAAATAATAAAACAAAAAACAAAAATTAGCCAGGCATGCTGGTGTGTGCCTTCAATCCCAGCTACTCGGGAGGCTGAGGTAGAAGGATCACTTGAGACCAGGAGGTCAAGGCAGCAGTGACCCATGATCATGCCACTGCACTCCAGCCTGGGCAACACAGCAAGACCCTGTCTCAAAGAAAAGTATTTATTGTTTTTAGTTGACGATAACATTGTATGTTTCGTTGTATAGACCAATATGTTTTGAAGAACATTTATATTGTAGAATAGTTAAATCTATCTTCTAGTAAATTTCTGATGGTGGGGATGGTCTTGGAGACCTGACAGTTTTTCATTCTCTCCCATCCAAAACCCTATTGGCTGTCTTGAATAAATGCAGCTGACTCTTTAAATAATCTGTTGAACGAAGCCTACTAATTTCTTGTTCATAATTTTTAATATCTTTTAGCAATATGATTATGCAAACTGAAGAGGAGCAAACAGTGTTATTGAAGTACTCCAGCGCTTAAAAGAACTTGCTGAATGCATTAAAGAAAGTATTAACCAAAAACTGTCCCTTTTTAGTCAAAGCTGTTCTTAAAAAGTGCCAAGGCTGTTCTTAAAAAGAACAATATTATTTATGAACAGGAAAAGAAATTCCTACTTGAAGTGGATAATTAATGTGGCACTTACATAACTATCTTTTGAAATAGTTTCAGCCCTTAGAGAACTCTGTTCTTTTACCTGGACTTCTGGCCTGTGAGCAAGTGAAATTCTTATATGAAGTGTTGAAGAAGAAGAAAATAAAAGTTGATGACAATGCTCTTTTTTGTCAGTGGATTAATAAAAAGTTGTTGATCAAGAGCTGCAACGTAATCCTGAAGAGTAGGAAGGCAACTAACGCCATGAAAGATGGTATTATATACCTCAACAAATCGTATTTGAAGAGAAGCTCTCCGGGCTGTTAACTTGATGCCAGGACATACCCAGTATACTGGCTCACCACACTAATGTCGAGTATTTTTTCTCATTAATGAAGGTTCTCTGGACAAAAGAATTAAATGATTCAGATATGATAACTGTAGATAAGCTGTGTTGCAATGTAAATGGAATTTAGACTGTAAGTGTAAGGAATTTTATAAGCACGTTCTACAAAACAAGGAACGATTGAGAGCCAAATCATTGGGAAAATATAATTAAAGCAGCATGTAATTTAGCTACTGATATTTATTTCAAATAAACAACAAGTAATTGTTAAAGTATGTTCTGTATAATATTTTCCTATTACCTGAGTGCATGTACGCATGGATAATTATAAATTCTGATGTAATTAGGCAGCCTGTATTTTTATTTCCTAAGTCTGGCAACCTTTGACACATAGGTTATTTGTCTGGAGACAGAGCTAGTAAGTGACTGGACCAGGAATTTAGCAGCATAGAACGTACTAAGACAAGTATATGAGAAGGACAGGGTGATGGCAGCATCGTGTCAGATAAATAAACCCTAATCTGCCATAAGATGCCATGAATTTTTGTATTAAATAAATGAATTGAGAGATAACAAAGACATTGCATTGTTTCAATATGCTCTGAAACATGCCTGCTATTACTTATTTATTCCCACCAATAGATTCCCTTCCATTTTAATAGTTTATTTGCTTTCTCCCTCTCTCTAATCTGAATGTCGTGTCCTGCCGTGTGTTCTCCTGTAAGCTGCTAGTACTACCACGGTGTTAATTATCAAATATTTAATGAGTACCACTTATGAGTCAGGCTCTTTTAATTATACTCCCTTTGGCAGAAAACAGTTACCTCCCTGATGGGGTCAGAGTTGAAACATGGGTTTCTTCTCTCCTCCATCCCTTGGTCACAGATACCAAATCACCCTACAGGAAGCAGGTAAAAGGCAGACATCAGAGACAGCCCTAGGGATGGAAGGGGTCATTTTTTCTTCTTCCTGGAGCTTCAGTCCTGGTCTCCCATACGCTGGACCCAGTGGCTGTCTGAAGTGCTCTCCTAGAGGGCCCATCCCATTGTCTATTTTCAGTCCTTAGTTTTAATGGAATACTCTGTAATCTCAGATTGGAGTCAGCCCTCTAACAACCTCAGCCCCAGAGAACGTTCACCAACTGGGAAAGCTTCCCACCCCCCAAGAAGAAGGAATTACCCTCAAAAACTCTTACTCTGTATTTCTGTTTTATAGGTTTTACTGTGCTCAAATAATATCTACATGTAAGGTTCAATAACTCTACAAGGCAGGTAGCCTGGTTTACCCCCATTCTGTAGATGAGGAACGGAACCATGGAAAGGTTACACGTGGCCATTATGCACTAGTACAGCCATACTAATTGTTAAAAAACTGACACAATTCCAAATGAGGTGGTAAATAACCGTTGCCCCAAATCTTCAAAATTATTCTGCTAATAGTTATTCAAGCTTTTGTTCCAAAGCCTCTCTTTGCCCCTGGCTGTACTCAACCTTCTCCCAGGACATCCTAGACCTCACTACAATTCACCAAGTAATTCACAATGGTTAACGCCTAGCACAGCAGGAATCTTGGGGACCATCCCTCTGATGAGTCAGAACCTGCCCCATATTAGAACATGTATTTTCATACCTTCCCTGGCTGTATGACTGACTCAAGATCACATGAGTAAATAACAGAAATAGGAAATGTATACTGAGGTAACAAAGCTCTCAGTTTAATGGGGCAGAAAAAGGAATAAAGCCTGCCTTGCCCAGTGTTTGTCTTCCCTTAGTCTTCCTCTTAGAACATTTTAACATTATGTGTATACAAAGCCATCTGATGATAATCCAGATTCCTTTTTAAAGTCTTATAAATATTCCTAAAGCTTCCTTGTAATCAAAGGCATATCTGGGAGAGTTATATCTGGGCCCTGCTACCTTTGCCCTGTCAGAGCTAAAGGCTTTGTATTTCAATATTTAGCTTATCATCTGATGCAAGGCTCTGGAACAACACCTAATTAGCTCTGATCTCAAGGTGTCAGGAGCTACCAGGTCTCCTCACAGACATTTCCAGTGCTCATAGAGGCAAGCGTGTGACAAATCACATGCACCCACAAGAAGAAAATATAACCAAATGAAACGCAAAAGAACACACGTCTGAATTGGGGATGAAGGTCACATCCCCACTTCTCCTCTCAATAATGCCTTCTTGCCTATCCTTGCATCTGGGTTATTATGATGATAGAAGTGAAGTTTAACTAGGATGCAGTTGTGAGGAGTTTTCAATATGGCACATGGGCTTTCGGCTACATTAAACCTGTGACAAAAAGGACTCATTTAAGTCAGGCTATCACTGTAGCTAACCATGCATCCAATGAAACTGTTGCAAGCAACTCTAATGAGTTCTAAGATCGGTTCAGCTTGCAACAGTTTAGGAAAGGACTCCAGAGGCCACAACCACTAATGCGGATGTGGAATGGGCTCTCGAAAGCCCCAGAGGTGACCAGCAGAACCATGGCCAGCTCAGCCTAAGTAGGGCATAAAAGACTAGATACCCTATATAAGTGGAATCATATAATAATTGTTGTTTTGTGACTGGCTTATTTTATTTAATGTCTTCAAGTTTCATCCATGTTGTAGCACCTACAGAATTTACAGAATTTCCTTCTTTTTTAATACTAAAATGTCCTTCTTTTTAAATATTCCATTGCATGTATATACTACATTTTGGTTATCCATTCATGCATCAATGAATATCTGTGTTGCTTCTATCTCTTGTTTATTTTGAATGATACTGTTACGAACATGTGTGTGCAAATATCTCTTTGAGACATTGCTGTCAGTTCTTTTGGATATACACCCAGAAGTGAGATTGCTTGATCGCATGATAGTTCTATTTTTAACAGTTTGAGGAATCACAATAGTTCATTTTTATTGCTGAACAATGTTCTGTTCTATATTTTGTTTATTCACACATCAGTTGATAACATTTGAGTTGTTTCCATTTCTTGACCATTAAAAGCAATGCTGCTATGAACATTCATGTGCAGGTCGTTGCGTGGACATACGTGTGTATGTCTCCTGAGGAGATACTTAGGAGTGGAATTTCTGAGTTGTATGATAAATTTATCTGTAACTTTTAAAGAAATAGACACACTATTTTCCAGAGTGGCTGCACCATTTTGCATTCCCACCAGCAGTATATAAGGGTTCCCATTTCTCCACACCTTTGCCAACACTTGTCTGTCTTTTTCATTACTGGCTGAAAGTCTCAAGAAAGACTGTACACTCAGGATCGTCTTCATGACTAAGTTTGTAGTCTCTCGGAAATACAGAAGGATAGGGCAAGTTTTAAGACATCAGAGGAAACCAACAGGCAAACCCAGAATGTGTAAGACAATTAAGGCATTGTCCTTTCAAA